CCAGCACACACCCTGGAGGTGTGCTGGGGGGCCATACAGACAGGTACACCCCCGTTTTGTAGTGGTTCAGCTCTGAATGCTCATTGGGTTTATGTAAGATGTAGCACACCTCACTCAGAAATAGGGGCATCTTTTACTCAGACATGAGTAGTTTTTAGTATTTTTAAGTGTGCAAAACAAAAAGTGCACTAGTAAGAGAAAAATATGCAATACTGATCTCCATTATGAATGATTTGCTGGAATATATGGTCCACAGATATACTAGTAGAGTCAGCTTATGTTTGAAAGTGTGATTTTTTACATTGAGCCTTATTGTTTGTATTTTATATCTATGTTCAACAGCTGAGCCAAGCCAAGATAGAATTTGCCAGTGTCACAAATCAAAAAGCTGTTCTAAACAGTGGAAGTGTCAAAATTGGCAATTGATAAATATGAACTATATCACAAAGCTAACCTTCCTCTCTCCCTTGCAGCGGATGCGTATCTGCTGCAGCTGCAGAAGTACGACATGCCGCCCGCCCAGGCCGCCACGCTGCCCAACGCGGTCAGTAACCCCGCCATGGCCGCCGCCCCCGCCTCCGCGCCCCTACAGGCCGGCGGCAGTACCGCCATGGTCCGCCAGATGTCCTCGGGGGCAGGGCCCGTCACTGCCGGCATCATGAAGGCACCAGGTAAGATGGCATTACCTTAAGACTGTGAGCTTGGTTCTGTACCATTTGTAGTTCATCTTTGTTCATGGATCACAAACTGTTGAACCATATTCTAGGTCTGGACTAACTAGTTTGTGCAAGTGCCTGCAATGGACATCCCCACAAGTTATGTTTGATCACTCTTACACAGCCTTGCATCAGACTTTCCAAGACTGTAAATTTGTTTTGTAAAAAAACACATAGCTTTAGGTTATGAGGTGCAGTACTCCACATTCAGTTAAGTTGGATTTGCAATGATGATATTGTAAATATTTGTTCCACAACCTGTTGGTACCTTTACACACCCACAGGGCTGCAGCCATTACGGATGCCCACTCAGACCACCCTGGTAGGCACGGCAACCACCGCCATCCCGCAGCAGTCGCCTCCGGTGCGGGGTCGGGCCCGGGTCAAGTCTCCTGTTGCCGTGACGATGGCCAGCAGCCCGAGGATGGCGACCAGCACCACCAACCCTCGCATCCTCACCACTACCACCTCTCATGGGGTATGTCTGACTTTCGTAGTCCGTAGCCAGCATGTCGGCAGAATGTACTGCACCTGCGCGAAATCCATAACGTATTGTGCATAGCACTTCGGCAGAACGTCTCATATAATGTTGTGTCCATTTGTAGTTTCCAAATGTAATGTAGGAAAAAATACTGTCTGCAACAGGCAAAATTCTTACACAATATTGAGCAAAAATCCAACGAAAACGGTGAAAAATAGGAGTTTTGCACAGGCGCAGTATGTTCTGCCGACGTGCTCCCCTAGCCTGTGTTACACTATCTCTCGCTGTCAGGGGCTGATTGGGCTTCCTCCACACAAGAGCCTAACCAGGGGATCTGCGTGAGTTTGTTTAAAATGATTATTCCTTTCTAGCCACACAACTGCAAATCATTTATACTTTGTTATTATCTTTCTCCTCAGACCCTCCCGTCTGGCACAGGCATGAGTGGAATCCAGGCACTGGCGGCGGCTGCAGCGGCCACCCAGAAGATCCCGGCTAGTCCATCAGGCACCACCATGAGGCCCCAGCTGTCCACAACTCACACAGGCACCCCTGTCACCCTCACCCTCGCCTCGGGGGTCAAATCCACCCCCATTATGGTCAGTGGACCAGTCCGTGTCGCTTTACACTGCCAGGCTTTTCATTGACATCACAGTGATTACTGTAAATCCTGAAACTTTTGTAATGAGGGATGTCCACTGTAGTACAGTAGTCATACAAAGAAAACATAGTCATGGTGTCAAGAAGTTGTGGTGGAGAGGTCACCATGAAAATGAAAAGACCACAAAAGTTTCACGATTTACAGTATGATTGAATCCCTCTGAGACCATGTTGGAATACAGCAGCAGCATGTTGGTGCACCATGGTGCATATGATGTCATGTTGTGAAAAGTCTGCATTGGATGCTTCTTTCTTTTCTGCCTGTTGCCTTTGGAAAGCAAGCATGAAAAGGAAAAAGAGAACACAAATGCATTTTGTAGTAGAGTATGGCTGCATGATGTCAGCTCTCCAGATTTCAGGGCTCTTTTCTTTGGAAAATTTGATTCTATAGGTTTTTGTCAACGCATGATGGAAAAAGGTTGACTAGATTTGGAAGAAAAGTTGGCATTCTGTTTGACACCATTGTGAATTTACTATTCAACGAATCTTAGTAATTTTTTTGGAAAAAAAAGAAGAAAATTGCCTGGCACAAAATTGGATAATAGCACATGTGCTTGGATGACGTTTTCAACTCTGGCATGTGTGAACCCCTGTGTCTTCCCCAAACCTCCTCCAAACTGAAGCCTTCTTCTCATGTAGCACTAAACCTCTTCCTTCTGTCTTTTTTTTCTTCCTTCTCTTTTTTGACCCGTAGCAATATTTTTCAAACCAGGTGAACACAGCTGCCACCAGTATCCTGAAGACGGCTGCCCAGGCGGCGCAGGCCGGCGCGCAGCAGCAGCTGCAGGGCAAACAGATCATCACGGTGCACAAGTCCGGCGCCGTCACGCTCACACCGCAGACACAGGTGGTCACCACCGTGGTGGGCGGAGTCACTAAGACCGTCACGCTGGTCAAGTCTGTCCCTGTCACGGTAAGTGTGTGGTCTGTCGTCCAACTGGCAGTGAAAGCTGTTTTTCAGGGTCTGTGCATGCCTAGCTGCAAGAAGTGGCTGAATCTACTTGCATGAAGTTTCGTTTATATGATATGCCAGTATGGATTATGATTTGTTACAGTGATAGCTTGCAAGCACTTCTAAAACCTAGTTCTAGCACTAGAGCCAAGCTCTAGTAACATTTAAGCCCTTCAGAACACTATAGGTAGTTTTACCGACTTAAGAATTCTATGTAGTTAGTTTAAGGACTTAGCAGTTAGTTTCCAGGAGTTGAGAACTCTAACAGGCATCTTGAAGATCAGCATGCATGTCAGGGTGATACATACAAGACACCAGCTTTGTCCTGATATTTCCTTGACTTCACCATGCTCCACCTTGCCTCTCTGTTTGATGATTTTCTTGCCTCTGTGTGCCGTGTGCCCCCGGCCCCCCGTACCGTCCCCACCGTCTAGCTTCAGGGAGGGAAAGTGACCTTGATCCAGACCAAGCCCCTGAGCTCCACAGGCATGGTGCTGGGCACCTCCCAGCAGGGGGCCGCACCTGCAGTCAACACCATGGCACGGCAGCTGGGGCAGCTGCAGGTACGTGTCAGCCCCGCCCCTTTCCGCTTCATCCATCTGCTGGGAACACCATACACACATACACGTACACACAGGCAGCATGTTAGCAGAATGTACCGCGCCTGTGTGAACCCTGTTATGTATTGAGCATAGCACTTTGACAGAACGCCTTGTTTAAGGTCGTATTGGTGTGTTTAAGGGTGACATCCCATCTGTAGTATTTAAATGTCATGTTGGAAAAGATGTCGTCTGAAATTCTGATGCACCTTTGACCAAACAGCCAACAAAAAACCTTGAAGAATCTGGATTTTGTACAGGCACAGTACGTTCTGCTGATTTGTCCACACAGGCTAACTGGGCTGTCTTTGTTCTAGGGCTATGGTTCAAGGGTACACATACACACACACACACACACACACACACACACACACACACACACACACACACACACACACACACACACACACACACACACACACACACACACACACAAACATGCACACGACTGTGCTATCTTGGTTCCAGGGCAAAGGTACAAACTCTGCAATCAAGGGGTAAAGGGGTACACTCACAATGATACATAATCTTACCCCTGCGAACCCATTTTGAATGAAACATACTCTTTCCTCTTTCTATTTTCTATAGATCTTATTCTGTGTTCTGTGGAACATTGAAATCAAATATCCATATAAAGACACACCCAGACACACACGCCACTCAAACAGACAACCCGGCACACCTGATCTAGCCAACTTTTATAGGAAATACATTTGTCTTTGTCAGTGCTTTTTCTGTCTGTCTTCTGTCCATTAGAAAGAGAATGAAATGTTACAAGGTTACATCATATACACATCTGCAAGCTCTCATCAACTGCATGCAATGCTCATATTCCATTTATTTCCTCAGACAATTATCGCAAAGGCAGAAAGCATTGAAAGTTACATGTTCTATATGAACTCCCTCACACAGAAATTGTTCAGTTGTTAGGAACTCTCATCACACCCTTTTCAGTTATTGATTATTGACTCATAGTTTGTTCTTACTAACCAACAGACCTGTTACGTTATCCTTTCAGATGTATGTCCATGTTCGTCATGCTAGGGTATAGGTTTAGGTTAAGATCAGGACTGTTTAGTCACACAGTGCTGTTTGTCCCCAGGCAAAAGGTCCACTCCCCCAGGGAACCATCCTGAAAGTCATCAGTACCACAGCAGGAGGGAAGACAGCCTACATCACCACTACCACTCAGGTAAGACCACTCAACAGGAGGAGTGTAGGGTGCTTTTGGCACACGGAGGGCTTAGAGTTAACTGAAGCAGACTGGAGGGAGAGGGTTCTGGACTGGGGAAACCCTGACATAAAATGTTTAAAAACAACAACCATCGAATTTGTATTCTAAAGCAGAATACAAGCGATCGCCATGACCTCACGGCCAACAAGTGTTAGGCGGAAAAGGGGGAAATTGAGTGATTTGCCAGCCATTTGTTTGCATTTGCCTACCAATAATATGCATAATATAACCCAAAAATTGATATAAGCAAAAACAGAGATCGCTCGTATTCCTCAATACAAAACATGTGTCTTATACTGGTGTTCCGTCCCCAGGCTGGGACCACGAAAGGCGCGACGATCATGGGCATCAGCAGCGTGACCCAGCAGCCTGTCGTCACCATCCCCAAAACCATCATCAAGACAGTCCCCGTGTCCTCCGTCATGTCCAGTGTGGCAGGGCAGGGTGGAGCCACGGGCGGGGCCACCCCCACCAAACCCACCATCATCGCAATCACCACTAAGGCGGTCTCTGGGGTGGCAGGTGGGGTGTTTTTTCTAAACAGTTTAACAACAGTTTATTAAGAAAATCAGCCTCGCAGCATGAGGTACATGTACAAAAGGTGAATTGCACTGAATTTGAATCGCACTGATTATCGATTTTTGTGACAAAATACAACAAAAATCACACTTTTAACTGGCCCAGTGAGTAGATACATTGTAAGATGTCTGTGTTGTGTGTAGGTATGACCACAGGGACCACCACCAAGCTTCCATCCACCTACATGGTGAAGAACCCCACCAGCCAGGGCAGCACACAGCAGGTGGTTCGAACCGTCACCACCACCCTGGGGGTCACCCCCATGGGCACCGTGGTGCGGACCGTGACGTCACAGATGCAGCCCGGCGTCCGGATCATCACCGTGCCAGCCTCCAGCATCACCACGACAACCACACCGACTGGACAGGTAATATGATGAGGCACACGGACTGATGATGGACTGATGACTTCCTATTTATTATGCATCATATTTTTTGTTTCTTTTGTAAATCCGTGACCCCACCCTCTCCCTCGACCTTGTTGAAAAGCGGTCCGGACAAGTTTGTCAAATTAAATAATGGCTTACTACAACTATTTCTACTACTACAGGTCCAGAGGATCGTGGTGACGCCCGTCACCAGACCGAGTGCTGCCCTGCAGGGGAAGACGGGAACCATCACCATTGTCACACCAGCAGGTACGGAACACATGCTAAAAGTTTGTGTTGTCTGTAAGTGGACCAGAAGGTTCAGAGTCTGGATCCTGGCTGTTGTCACTCACCAGGCTGAAATACTGCTGCAGTAAAAAAATACACTGTTTAGTTAAGGTTCACTTAAGTTGTAACTTGTATAAGCCATACATATCAGCTGTCCTTTTAGTCACAAGCAATAGAGGATAATCTTATTAATAAGCTCTTACTTATCATATTGCCCTATGCAAGATAAGTACTAAGTCAAGTGCTTGCGAGCTGACAATATATGTTCCTCTGCTTCTTCCACAGTGGTTATTCTATTAGCACGATTGATATTATCTACCTTTTCGCAAGCTCAAGATTGAAGTACATACATTTTCATTTTGTTTTCAGGTACCTCTGTCCCAGCATCCACAATAATCTCCTCCAGCAGTGCCGGGGCGACCGCAGGCACGGCACGACCCATCACCGTGTCCGTCTCCAACCTGCCCTCCGCAGCAAACGTGCCAGTTACCATGACGACCGCACAGGCAGCGTCGGCCCTGTCAGGAGCCAGCAGCAGCATCACACCGGCGGGCATCACGCTACAGAGTTTGTCCACACCAACAGCAACGACAGAGATGAAACAGATAATACAGAACACACAGGTGTGTACAAGGCTGTGGTATTGTGTTCATACTACACCTTTGTCCTAAGACAGTTTGAGGTAAACTTGAGGTAAACCATCACTTTGGTTGGTCAATAACAGATGGAAGAGATTGGAACAAAAATACAACTGTCAAGGCAAAGGACAATCAGCTATCTGTCTTCAAGCGTATGGAATCCTGTGGATGAATAGTCTTCTAGTCTACTGCCAAAGAAAACTCAAAACAAGCTAAAAGAGGATCGCAGTAAACTCAAACTCAAAACAATTTGTTTTGAAGAGCTTTCAAGTTATGTAACACTGATGTTTTTTCTTCCAACCTTTAACGATACTTCTGCTAATTTGCACCCCTCCAGGCCATCACACCTGCGACCTCCACTGTGACCTCAGTAGCTGCCTCCTCCACGGAGCAGGGCCAGCAGCAGCCCAGCTCCGAGGAGCAGCAGCAAGTCGGACCCTGCGGGACTATCCATGGTACGACCACATTATTCATCTCAGGAATATTGTAGAGAATATCCAGTATGGTCTAGTTTGTCTTATTTTAAGTAGGACTGGGGTTCTTATAAATGTTTCACTCAAAAGAATGCTTTGCGTGTTCATGACTTGAGATATCAGATACTAGAAAGTTGGAATCACCTGGATGTATACAGACTCCATTCAATGTTAAACCCACTACTGAGTGGAGAGCATACTGTAAGTTCATGTATTTTCACTGGGACTTATCTGGAGGTAGGAAAGGAAAGGAATCTTTGGACTTTAAAGAAAATATTGGAAGAGTGTGATTCTAGGAACGAATGAATAAGTTGATTGGACCATTACAGAATAACATGACGAATGCTGATGTTTCCTCCTGCAGGCTGTGGTACTGATGACGAAGATGAGGATGCAGAGAAACCCAAGATCGGCCCATGTGGAACTATCCATGGTGAGCTCTACCAGTCTTTCCTTGGTTTGGCTTTGGTTTGGTTTTCCTACACTGATCAAGCAAGACTTGCTTGAAGACTCTCTGTTGATAGAAAAAAAAGATTAAATGACTTTATAGAGCATAAGAGCATAGATCTGCGGTTTAAAAACATACATAGTGCACAAGACAATGGTCACCAGTTGCTTGTGACTTTTGATTGGTCAAGAATCAAAAAGCAAGAGAGAAGAAATTGTATTGGTTCCTTTTCTCTCTAGGCTGTGGAACTGATGATGAGGATGATGAGAAGTCCAAACCCAAGATCGGTCCATGTGGCACTATACATGGTTAGTGGCTGTTTTGTTTTATGTACTGTTTGTTTGTAAGCTTTCCTTTTTGAATAGCATGTAAGTGTAGACAGAACCTCAAAAATCAAAATAACTATCTAGCTTCTGAACACCATGTGCTGTATGTAAATATAAGCTTATCAAAATGCAATTCAAAATCACAATTGTTGTATGTCGAAGTTTCTTATGATTCCACTTTTTAACAGGCTGTGGAACTGATGACGAGGATGATGACAAGTCAAAGCCTTCAGATGGGCCCAAAATCGGGCCTTGTGGCACCATCCATGGTAGGATTTTATTACGTTTAAACCTAAATCATAGCTCCAAATGAGGCATTTCTGATATTTGTATCTGCTTGTCGGCCTTACAAAAGTCTCTTTTCTGAAAAGATGTGCTGAGAGCATAGTTAGCTTGAATAACGTTATATAGATTATATTCTTCAGCAAATTGATTTGAATTCACCTGTGATTGATTTTTTGCAGGGTGTGGTACAGACGACGAAGATGATGACAAGTCAAAACCATCAGAACAGCAAAAAATCGGGCCATGTGGAACAATACATGGTATGTATGGCTTTTACGTATATATATGTCTCCTGTTTTTGCTTTATTGTCTCTTGGGAAGGGAGTTTTGATTCACGCTTCAACTAGGTATCCACATTTTCAAACGTCTTGTAAAATACTTTAGTTTCCATTGTAAAAGTGGCTACGACAAGATAAGTTATGCCTAACTTGAGCTTGCAGCCACTTTGTCTGTGTCCTTTCATTTGTATTCATCACTGTTCTTCTGAAAAAAAGTGTGTTTCGAGGCCTGATTTCCATTTCTCCTGCCCCGCCCAGGTTGTGGCACTGATGATGAGGATGATGAGAAGCCGAAGCTGGGGCCGTGCGGGACGATCCACGGTTGCGGCACGGATGATGAGGGGGAGGGCGATGACCCTGCACCGTCCACCACGACACAGGCGGACCAGACGCAGGAAGCCATGGACACGTCAGCGCCGGCCCAGCCACAGACCTCAGCAACAACGGCAGCAACAGCAGCAGCCAGTCCTACAGGTGAGGAGAGAAGGCAGGGTTAATGAAGAGTATTTCAACAACTTCTAGAACAGAGTAGAAGCATACCCATGGGTGTGTTTGATACATTATGTATGAAAGAAGTCTTGTTGAAAAACTATATGTTGCATGTTGCAAACAAGACACCAATGTTTCCTTCATACACTTGTTGTCTTCAGTTTTAAAGACAGTTGAGGTCTGAAAGTTATCACTTTTTCCTGGCCATGTCTATCTTGAAGCCAAAATTCTTGAAAATCTTATGGTAGTCTTCTTTTAGCAGTTGAAGTAAAACAGCACTAGTACATGTATATCTAAATCATCACAGAGATGATGGCATTAAATGTGCATCTGATCCTTCTCTGTTATTGCCTGTTCACAGCAGTAACTTCACAAGCCACACCCATGGAGACAGGGCAGGCGGCATCGTCCTCTGTAGAACAGATGGACACCACACCTGCACAGACACCTGCAGCCACAACAGCTGCAGCTGTAGCAGAAGCAGGTGAGACACTGTACCTGTAAACAGTACCCACCAATCATTAAGTGTACAAACTTGGAGACTACTTTTAGACAAAGTATATGTAAATCCTGTCTCAAACTCAAAGATGCCAGTTTGGACAATTTAGTACTTGAAAATTAGGATAATTTTGGAAAAATACCCATGCTTTGAGATTAAAGATACATAGCTCATGCATTGATGAAAATTTACCATGAAAACAGACAATTGGCTATATGTATGACTTGGCCTTATTTTTCTCAACTAATTTATTCCTTGATAAATTAGTTGATAAATTTAGTCTAATTGTGTGACCATTGATGTAGCACAGATGATGTAACTACCAGTTGTCAATGTATAGGTAAATCACTCTAACTGTACGTCCAATCTAAGACAGTCTATGTCTTACACTGATGACTATATTACCTTACAGAAACCCTAGCAGCAGCGACCACGTCCAGTGTCCCAGCGCCCTCCCCCTCAGCGGTGGACGGTGCGGCCGCCGTCCTGGCCACCCTGGCAGACTCCACCACCACGCCCGTCTCCGCCAGCCAGGCAGGGGCGACGCCCGTCAACAACGGCGCCGTGGCACCCGCCCTGCCCGCCAACGTCACCACCAACGGGCTCGGGCCGACGGTGGTGAAAACTGAGCCTGAAGTCAAGTCAGAGGTGCAGTACTTGTCTGTACTTGTTTTAGGGTTTGGGGAATGGGTTTCTTTGATTATGTATTAAGTTTAAACCATATGATAACTAACCCAAAGATATCTCCAGTAATGCTCACTTATGTTCTAGAAAACATGTTAACTATTCTACATTCTTTTTGATGTTTGGGCTCCTTTTAGTCAGCACATTTGCTGTAACCCTGTATGAAATATTTAAATAGGGATTGATGTCAAAGAATTGGCATCTAGGGAAAAACTTTAGGAAGATCACATATTACGTAAGTTGTCAGGATTTCTTTCTTTTAACCTGATGTTTGGAACTTTTCAGGACCAGAAGTCCGTGGACGCCTCTTCCAAAACCATCCTGACAGGGAAGCGGGAACACAACCAGTGGTACGACGTCGGGATCTTCAAGGGTACCTCGGCCACCGTGCAGTACTACTACCTGCCTTCTGAAAACAACCAGAAGGGAGAGGATGTAAGTCACCTACAGTCTTGGGCAATTTCAATGAAGGAGTAAACAAAATAGTGGTCAGGAGTTGGACACAGAACTAATCATGGCAGGGCTTGAAATGTTGGATGCATATGCACCTTCTCTTTTCTTTATATGCACCTTAGTGCATGTAAAATTGGAGTCGTGTAGGTATTTCTAATGTCTACCTGCACCTAACCTGCACCGGTCCATGTACTAAGTTTATATGTACATGTAGGTGTATGTGGATTTTTATTTGCTGCATTCACTGTTACCACCAAGAAATAATGGCAATACAGTAGTTTTTGAACAGTTTTTATTACGATCCATACTTCCCAAATTCTGAGTAGTATGCAGAAAATATTTCGAGCCTTGCATGCAATAGGTATTTCGGTGTGTTCCCTTAAACCTGCTCTAACTTGAATTTATACTCCCATGTTCGCATGTTCCTAACTAAATATTCCCATGTTTGCAGGACATTGACGTAGTGAACGTGCCAGACCACAGCATGCTGAAGAAACAGGAGCTCCTGTCCGGCACGGCATACAAGTTCCGTGTGGCCGGCATCAACGCCTGCGGCAGAGGGCCGTGGAGCGAGATCTCCGCCTTCAAAACCTGCCTGCCGGGCTACCCAGGGGCTCCGTCAGCCATCAGGATCAGTAAAGTAAATATGGGAACTCTTGTTGAAATCAGTTAATTATGGGCAATGTTTGTCAAAATCAGTTGAATAACTATAGGGAACTTTTGTATGTAGGGGCAACTTTGAAGACATCCTAACATCTCCAACTTCTGAACATTATCAATATACTCTTCCTTAAATAATGTGTAGATAAAAGATACTACTAGCATTTTCTGTCCTACTTTCCTAAAAAAAAAATTTTTTGTCGGCTCAAATTCAGTTCTGCAGCACTGACGGTAGAAGACAGACCCAGGTCAAGTTTACATGCAAATGTTCAGTGTAAAACAACCATACATCTGTAGTCTAACCCTGGCATTGATGTGTCCCACAGAGTACAGAAGGAGCTCACCTGTCCTGGGAGGCACCTGCCAACACTGCGGGGAAGATCCTAGAATACTCCGTCTACCTGGCGGTGAAGAGCACCTCTGCCTCCACGCCAGACACCAAGCCCCTCACGCCGTCACAGATGGCCTTCGTCAGGGTATACTGTGGCCCCAGTGCCTCCTGTACCGTCACCACCAGTACGCTGTCCAACGCTCACATCGACTACACCTCCAAACCTGCCATCATCTTCAGAATCGCAGCCAGAAACGACAAGGGGTGAGGCAGCATTACTTCTTACGTGCTTCCTCTTGTGTTTGTTTAGCAGCCTTCTTGAGAAATATGTTTTCACTTTTGTAAATTTTCAGTCAGTGAGTTTTTATGCTCTGTGTGTCTGTGTTTCATTGTGTAACTACTCCTGATTTTAACTGTGCAGGGAACTTACTCGAATTATGCTTAGATTGTTAGCATTTTCTGTTGTAGTTTCCAAAAGCCAGCTCAAATTCTGTTTTGCACAGCTGACTCCAGAATGTTGACCCAGGTCAAGGTAGCAATCTTTATGTAATGTTAAGCTCTTTGCGCTGGTCACTATCTCAACGAAATGTATGCTAAGATCTGGTCTTTTTCTATTTTTAGCTATGGACCAGCTACTCAAGTAAGGTGGCTTCAAGACTCGTCCAAGGATACTAAGGCAGCTAAGAGAGTTGCTCCCTCTGACAGGTAAGTCTCTTTATTTCTTGTTCAGTTGTCTTGGCAAAGCATCTGATATTGACACATAAAGCCTTGACACTTTTGTTGACATATTATCATTGAAAAATGTCTCTGACATTGGGTTGTTGCTAAGAAGGCTTTAAACTTTCAAACATGTAACGGTTACATTGCATACTTTCCCCTCCCTTTTATGTCTAGACCTCACTTAAAACTGAAAAGGAAAAGTGTATAGTTGTCAAATTGCACCATAAGCTAAAACTTGAAACTTTTAAGGTTAAGTAAACTTCCGACTGTTTCCTTACAGTAAATCTGGCACCAAGAAGGTGAAGACAGAAAAATGAAGACGCTTCCACTGAACATGCACACTACAGCGGACCACCGGAACCCTTCTTACATCACAGAGCCTCATCTAAAGCAGTACCTCCTCACAACACGGGATTGCCACACGCAATACTGAGGGATCACTGTTCAACAACTTCTTCCTTTGTAAATTGTTCACTAGAAAAAAAAAAGTTGTGGAATTTTGAGCTGAACTATTGCTGGGGTGTTTTTGAATTGTAATGTTATTTTATTGGATCACGTTCTGATGATGATGATGATGTTTCTAACAGAAGTGGAACAAGTCGGGCCACCTTGTTCAGGGGTCGTGCATGTGAAGAGAAAACTGTGCATCTTTGAATGTGTTGAGGCAGGATTCTGTATTTTCAAGTGAGAAGAATGTACCATATCTAGACAAAAAAATCTATTTTTTCTAACCAAGGGGACAGACGAAAGAAGGCGTTTTAATGATCTGATTTTGGTCACTCTGAAGCTTTGAGATGCCTATTGAGAAATGTAGTTTGAAAAAAAAGAGAGTCCCAAAAGAATTATTTTGACCTATCTTAGAGGAAAGTGGTTCAGTGTCTAACACAAAAACACCCTCTTTGAATGTTGAACACATTTGTAGATGCACAGTAAAATAAACAATTGATTTGTACTAGAAGATAATGATATCAGGGATATTGTTTCATCAGAAATTGGTCTTGGGAAAGTGACGGTATTTCCATTTTTATGTATTCTGGTTCCTAGCGCAGTCCTACATATCCAGAATTGTTCCTCATGGTTTTGTAGGTATAGAAAGTTTACCACGTTTGGGAATAGATAGATATAAAGGTGATACAAAGGTCTGATTTTTCTCAGACATGTTTCAAAGGAAGGGAATGAACTGTGAAATATGTAAACCAGCTTCAATTTGCTTTTCATTTGTTGACTTTTGGGGCTTAATTTTTAAGAGCATGAGCTTATCAATTATTGTACCATATGCATATCAAATTTGCGCATGAAGCTAAACATTTTATTTCGGATCACTTTTTTTGAGGCTTGTTTGTCCCTTTACATCTGACTATTGGAACAAAAGACAAACTCACTCTCCCATAATTGTATAGGTTCTCATTTTTCTGGATTGCTCAAAATTTTTGCAGCGGAGGTTTACTATTGCAATCAAATTATGGTTTCCCGCTTTGGGGTATTTTGCTTTTTCTTTCAAATTTTGCAGGATAAAACTTTCCTTGTATTTCCCTCTTCGGATGGGTAGAATTAGTGTATATTTAAAATACTGTATTTTTAATAGTGTGGTAGAACCATAACCTTGTGTCTTTTGATGTTTTTGTACATTTGTCTGTAGTTGTGAGAAAGTCATGTGGTTTTTACCTACCCAGTTGGGATTGCAAGCATCACTAGGAGGAAATTCCAGTGTTTCCATCAGCAAGAGAAGAAACCTGGAAGCACTCAGTGGTGCAGACTGTTGATGTTCATGCCTTCTTATGAAGAAGCAGTTTACAATGACGTAATTTGGTGGGCAAGGAAAGTGCAAAGAATGGTAATTTTATACAACTTTGGGAAAAGGAAAGCCCTGGAGATGTGCTTGTGTGTGTTTTTGACAGCAAGTAACTCAGATAGACTGTGGTTAGGCCAGGCATGCTGTATATTCTGCATTCTTCGTACCCTCTCCTTGTACAAGTTCCCTCCCTCCCCCTCTCAACTCCACCCTCCCCACTTCCATCTACCTGTTCCAATATTGTTGACTGTGTTGTTCTGAAATATCCGTGCTGTTACCCATCAATGGTCAACTAGACAATTTTTAGAAGGAAAAAAAGGAAAAAGAAAAGACAAATGTACCAGTGTCAGCCTCCTCTGACAGTTCCCTATTTCCCATGTAGACTGGTAGTTTTGTGGTGTGCTTGTGTTGATCGTACCCTTGTCACAACTTTACAACCGTAGTTAGGGGAAAGGTTGCTATGTTGATACAGAGTCCATTTCTGAAGGTCTGTTCAAAGTCTTAAGAGTGATACGCAGCCACATGTGGTTGGACAGACAAATGTTTTGTAACTGACGGGTTTTTCAAAGAATGAGCTCGCCTAACCTTCAAACAAAATGGCACAGTCCAGAAAAAGAACCAGCCGAATGTAATAGAGATCTTCGGACTGAACTATTATTCAGAAGGGTAGGGGTGTTTTCGTTTGGATAGCATTTTACTCCATGAAAACATGATGTTCTCGTCACTCTTTTAGATTTAGATACCCCAAGTGAATATATATATATAGCTATGTACTTCCCATCATTTTGTGTAACTTTGAATAAACAATACTTTTAAAAATTGCTTGTCGAGCCTTCCTCCACATATTTCCAGTTGATATGACAGTAGAGGATATGTTTTTAGTTGGCAGGACTGCCAAAACGTCTGTGAGAGAGATAGAGTTCAGTCACATTGTAATGTATGGATCTAGATGAAGCTACAGACATATACTGATAACTGGAAGAAAACAGTACAAACCTACGCCAAAAGGAACAATGTAAGAGAGAAATGCTCTAAACGTAACGTTAACAAAGCTTACATATTTAAGTAGATACAACGTTAAAGATATAACGTTACTAGTACGTCCGTAATTGGAAGAAAACACCGATAGCCTAGTAGGGCTGAATTAAAATACATTTTGGTCTGTGCCTCTCTCTGTGGCAACAGACGTGAAAAAAGACACGAAATAAACCATAACCACACATCTACTTGGAGATGTGATTGCCCCAGCTCAGGTGAGTCGCCCAGGGCATGCCGGGACTTTTACATGACTAGTACTACGCGGAAGTTCAACTGGGAATTAACGTATAAGCATCGTGGGAGCTAACCGTTTCGCTCTGTAGAATGTAGACGAAACATACCATGGCACTCTCTCTCAACGCACTACCCAGGGAGTCCCTCCCCACGGTCGTCAAGTTGGAGGAGGACTTCCTTCCCGTGGGGTCGGGGGAGTACCAGACGGTGGGGTCGGGGGTGGAGCTGCGGAGGGGCGAGCTTCTGACCGTCCACTTCGTGCGCGAGGTGACGAAGATCCACACACAGGACCAGGAGACGGGCGCAGAGTTCTACATCCCTCTGCACTGTCAGCAACTGTTCGAGAGGCTGCCCAGAAGTAGGTAGACATTATTGTACTGGTTTGTTTCCGTGTGCCATGGGTGGTACGATAAAGGCATGACAGGGTAAATACTGGCTGGCTTTGCAGAGGTCAACGTACGCGCATTGCGTTTGGTGACCTTGTCTTTTGTTGCTATATCAACTTCAATATGAACACTTACATGTATAAGCGTCATTTTTGTCTTTTAATCTAACTTTCTTATCCCTTTCAAACCTACGTTTCGTCCCTGAAATACACAGTGTACAGCAACACAGTTACTGTCGTTTGTTACTTGCGTGTCAGACGCCAACTTGGACGTGAGGTGTTGTCATTCTCTTGATGACCCATGTTGTTTTGTGTCAACTGTTTTGTTTTTCTAGCCTTAACAGAAAGAACGGGTTCTGATGCAGCAAAACTAAGTGTAAAACACATATCGTTAAAAAGTATAGTCTTTGAGTGGCTTGACGATATCATTTGATAACGTCTGGCAAACAAACAACGCTATCAGACCTTTGGACTCTTTACACCGTTTTGCCCTGCCTTACTGTGTCATATTATGACTTTCACAAACTACCACTTGCACCACGAGCTTGAGTTTAATAACTTTTTTCACTCCGAGTTGGGGACATACTTGTTGTGAATTTGTGATGAGCTCAAAAATACCACCCCGTGAAACGTTGCATGCTAGAGTAGACAGAAACCAAATTAAATTTGCTTCCAACATAAACACCAACGAACTGCAGCCCACCTTGCCCAATTCATGCGTGTCCGCCCCTTTTGTTATTCGCTTAGGTTTCGTTACCCTTTCAAACAATTCCGGTCCACAAACCAATAGATCGTATTCTGGACGTAATATATAAGGGGGTCTTTGCATGGGCATGGCAGCGGGTTCTTGTTTTCACTTTCAAAACTCACTGTGATGCTCGCGGCATGAAAGACGTTTGGCGTCATTATTTTAATTGACCGGTTCAACGTCTTTAGTCAAATTAGTGTTCAGACCTTACGACGGGAGTAATATTTACCAAACACGCTTTGCAAACACACAGGTCTACTGTGTGTCAGTACATTATAAGAAAGCGAGAACTAGTTACGTTGAATCCGCGCGCGTGTGTTTAATGTCTTTTAATGAAGACCTTTATTGTACGCAAATACCCACTGGGTTCAGTACAGGTCACAGGAAAGACGTCACAGTTTGCAATGAATATATACAATGTACAAGCTAGTGCTAATTCTATGTACTATGGACATATAGTCTAATAATTACGATAATTTGGTTTCTTCTCGCTTCTTAGTAATGATGTAGATATAAGTACAGATGTGTTTTATAATCGAAGGTTTGTCTAAAATCATCAGAAATATGAACTTATCTGTGTTGCTAAGATGTATGAAATGGGGAAACATACATTGCAATAGTTTATAAAGCTCTGCTCTCTCTTCGTTGTATAAACTACATTCTAATACAAAGTGTTCCTCATCCTCTACCCTATTTAGATTACGATGCCTACATATTCGTTGCTCCAGGGGAGTGCGGTTATGGCGTCCGGTTTCAATGTGTAGTTTGTGGCAGCTTATCCTGAGTTTTGTAGTGGCGGTCCTATGCCGTACATTGTCGAGATTTAATGTAGATGCTTCAAAAATACGTGACATGGAATATGTATGCACTAGTTACTGCGCCAGTGCCACCCAGAGAAACTGTTCTTCCTGGACTTTCGCTTGTAAACGTCAGACAGAAGTAGTTTGCCAATTCGCACAGGAAGATACTTGTAGCGACTCTTATCTTCACTGTGCATTGAGACTCTACAACAAAGCAGATCTTTCAGTGACAAAATCGTAAATCAACCTACAAGACAGTATCCAATAGGCCAGACACTATCTAATCAGTCACCTTTGGCCTTGGGCGTGTCACAAGAACAATGTTTTTCAGTAGTCCTCTCACTGCATGTATCTAGCCAACCATTTATCTCAATATCTGTCGATTCCGTGTTCCTGTCCTTCCACAGACCCCAAACACGATGATAAGTTGTTCCTGGGAGCGGAGCCGCTGTTCCAGTGCGACCCCCTGCCGGAGATAGTACGGTCCATCGACAACTTCCTGTCCAGTGACGAGTACGGTACGCTGGAGGAGAACGACATCGTCTACATCCACGGGGTCGACCCTAAACTCGACCACTGGGGGAAACGGGTAAGTCTGACATTTTGAAAAAATTTTGATGACCCCATCCTTTATTTGCTATATGGGGGAACCAGAAATGGCACATCTTACGATATTGTAGGGGTGAATAGAAAATAGCATGTCGCAGTCAAGCTGGCTGAAAGTTGTAAAACGTTGAGGTGAAGAGACATTTAGAAATTAAAAAAAGAATCGAAAATAAAGTTGTTAGAATAGAGAAAATAACGGACCTGCCGATCAAACTTTTCAGTAACATCGCGCCACCCTTCACCCTTCCCGGTCGTATCAGTCGCACGACATGTTTACAAACCAACTGGGGACATTGTAAGGCCAGTCGTGGAAGTGACGTACAACATTCGGCTTGGCTTCGGAAGTGTCGTACAACATTCGGTTGCTTATGCCATAGCGTACGACAGAAAGTCGTACGACAGAAAGTCGTGAGACAGAAAGTCGTACGACAGAAAGTCGTGAGACAGAAAGTCGTACGGCAGAAAGTTGTGAGACAGAAAGTCGTACGGCAGAAAGTCGTGAGACAGAAAGTCGTACGGCAGAAAGTCGTGAGACAGAAAGTCGTACGGTAGAAAGTCGTGAGACAGAAAGTCGTACGGCAGAAAGTCGTGAGACAGAAAGTCGTACGACAGAAGGTCGTACGACAGAAAATCGTAGGGTGTATGTGACTGCAACTTGAGAAAGACTTCGACTAGCATCTAACAATGTTTTCGCTTCTCTTTGTTGTCCACAGGTGATCCTAGGTGTGAACCAGGACGGACGGGAGGTACATATCCACGAACACGAGTGTACCTGTTACATGGTCTCCATTCCCTACTGGAGACCCGAACACATGACGGAGATCACAAAACTAGACATGCCACAGGTAAAGCGTAGTATATCTAGTACTACATAGAGGGAGTTGGGCAAAATAAAAATGTTCTATATTGTTTTGTATACTTCTGCACAGCAGCCTCATGAAAATATGCCACTTTCTGCGGCCTATATTTCTACAACTGCCACTGATGCTAACGTTTCTTTCATGTTACTTGCGTTACATTAATACATTACATTATTTTCCATAACGATATAGTAAGAGATTGGATTGTAGACGTTTGAGGTCCCCTTGTAAGTGAAATGTTCGCACGGTTATGTGTCGAAAACGGCGGCCCAAGTTATCGTGGAGAAGGCTATAACGTTAGATGTGACAAAAACTCAATAACGTATCATTTCTTGCTTTGGAGTAATGGTCAGTTGATTTTATATGGCGACTTCCCTGTGTTACAGAGAGTACGTATTCCCGCGGAACACTACACACAGGTAGGGAAGGAGAAGGTGCTGAAACTGTTGGAGCTCCAGGAACAGGAACATTACGTGGTCACTAAGGAAGGCGTCAGGGACGTCCTGTCCATACCTGCACATCTGGACATCAGGTCAGATTTTCTTACCTTTGTTCGCCATATGGTTTCATATTCGTATATTACTTTTGAACGGACGATGTATCCAGTTAGTGCCCTATTCAGTCGCTTTGCGGAATGTGACTGAAGTGTACCTTGCCTTAAGGCAAATCTATGCTCTTGAATGCACGAATGCCTAATCCTAACCTAACTCATTCAGGCATAGACCTAGATACGCACCGTTCTGCATACGATAGAAGTTTTGCTTCCTCCGTCCACAGAGTGAGCGTCATGCCTATGGCCTACCCCGGTGTGTTTTCTTTGCGGGGTCTAAAAACCCTCCTTGACCAAGGTTTGCGTCGTGTGTTCTGTTATGTATAGTTGTTCTGTATAGTTCATGGCAATGGTCGTTTTTGTTCTCTGTCCCTAGAGTGAGCATCATGCCCATGGCGTACCCCGGCGTGTTGCGGGGCCTGAAGTCCCTCCAGCCGTGCCTGAACCTGACCCTGAACGTGCGGGACGTCGGCCTGCCGCCCCTGCCGCCCGAGTACGACGACGTCCCCCTCCCGCTGCCTGACGCCATGGAGTCGTGGAGGGAGAGCTGGGAAGGTTTATGGCTACTTATTCTTACAACATCAATATCAATATCGACCACGAATGTCGTTTATTTGTTTTGTCTGAGTGCACTTTTTGTAGGGAGTTTAATTTTGAATGGTTCTTGTGTCCATGTCAGTCACGTGGAACATTGGTGGATTTTGCTTCTCTGTGGAAAGAAAATGGACACCACTTTCTGCAAGATCTTTTCCATTTTCTTTGAGCTTCTAATAGAAAATTCATGTCATAATTTATCGCTCCGTTGTTTACAGGAAAACAGGAGTGCGAGGATCTGTCCAAGACCGCTAACGACAAGCTGAAGGAGGAGATGGCCCTGATGCAGAACCACATCGCCCAGCTCAAGCGGGACCTGGAGAACTCCGTCCCGATCCGCCCGCCCGAGCCCCTGCCGCGCAACCAGCAGCCCCTGCCGCCGCCCAGGCCGCCCAAACCCAAGAACCTCAGAGGTAAGTGTCAGGGCATCAGTGGAGAAGTAATGCTGAGGACAGATTGCCAAACCGGGGCCCGGCTGGGCAGTCTTATGGAACGAAAAATATAGTATAAAAGACAACCACGCAACCAGCAGCCCCTGCCCCCGCCCAGGCCGCCCAAACCCAAGAACCTCAGAGGTAGGTGTCATACATTCTGCCGAGGCAGAGGTGATTTCGCGGCGTATATAGCCTTACATGTTTGCCGCGGGATAGCTCTGCCTTGGAAGAATGGTGCCAAATAATAGCCTAGGTGCCATCCTAGTTAGTTTACCTGATCTTTTAATCCTGTACCACGACCCTCACGACCTGAGTTGGCATAGGGGGGCCCGATAAACTAACGCCTGGGCAAGATTAGCAACATTGGTCTGCACTTTGTATAGTTTTTCTCAACTTTCAAGGACAGTGTTATAGCCCTACATAACGATTCATTACTTGATGTACGGTGCAAGTTATCATCATTTTCTACAAGTTAAACCGATACTCAGACGTTTTCACCTTTGTCACCAGGCGATCCCATCTCTCCCACATCCCCAACATCCCCCACATCTCCAACTACCAAGTCTGAGAAGAAAGGCCTGAAGTTACTCAAGAAAAAAGTGCCGTCCTTCAACTTCATGAAGGATGACAAGACGGAGAAGAAGGAGAAGACCAAGAGGGAAAGCTCCGAACCTTCAGAAGAGGCCAAAGACGGTGCATACGAAGACGTCGAAAAGTAAGTACCAGATTTTGAGAATAATTCTACAATCCACCGATTGAATGAAAAAAATCAGTCAGGTTATCATTTCAGAACTAAATCATTTTGAGTATAGGACTTAATACAAAGTTGGAGTAAAACTTCTTAACACACACGGTATATTCGTCTTTCCCTACACCAGGGTTATATACTACGTATATACGATGGAGAAAGTTCTAGCTACATAGGCACCCTACCTTATCTTTACCATACTTTTGAAAAGTTCGTTACAAATTGCAATCCCCCTGTTTTACAGTGTTTACGACGAGTTAGACGACGTGAAGGCACAGGCTCGACTGAAGGAGCTTCGAGAAGAAATTACCAAGAAAGATGGGGTATGTTACTGATTCCTTCATTTACTTGCAAGCATGGTGTTATCAGACATGAAATTGAGGCTATGACAGAAATTACACTCCATGTGACTTTCATTTCCTCTTCTTTTATTTAGATAATCAGAGGCCTTAAAAGTGAATTGGAGCGGGAGAAAGGATGGAAGATGAAATATGAGGTACGTCGTCCTTGCGCATATAGAGCGTCATTATGTTAACACCCGTGATTTTAAGGTGAATAATATGTTGGTTTAACAGTGTAAAAATACATTTTCGCATTGCTACTACTCTGGATGACGAAATGAATGTTCAACGAACAGATGAATGAGTGAATAAATGACAATAACATTGTCCTAGACAATGTCACAGGTAAAAAGGGTTTCTTTTTCTTCCCTGGCTTCAAATCTTCAACTATTGCACTATCCTTGTTGTTCTGGTCTGCCTTATTTGGCATTATGTCGAGTCTCACAATCGCAGTCTGTCGCTGTTGACTCTCTCGACGTGGCCGCTGCGCCATCAGCACCAAGGACAGAGACTGCCCCTACCGTGCGGGTGTCGTGCACGGTTTCATCGACAGGAGGCGCTGCTAAAGTTACATGCTCGTCCACAACAAGAATCTCATCACTGACGACACTTGTCTCCACCACCTCCTCCAGAAGTAAGGTCTCGTCTGACGCTGTGGAGATCGTGTCTTCGTCGTCCGACTCCAGATCGCTCTCGGTTAAGCTCGTCAAAACTCGTGGAGTGTTCGTGAAGACTCGGGGAGTGTTTCTCCAGTAGGGTAGCCCCGTGCGAGACATGATGGGCATGATGGGGGCAACCTTCCGGCGTGGAGGCCTGAGGGAGAGGCTCAACATGGGGTCTACCGCGGGCAGCTTGTCCAGGCTGAGCTTGGCCGTGAGGACGCAGAGCCCGTACTGTTTCTCCTGGCAGCGCTCGCAGACGAGACTGCGCCAGTCCCAGCGGTGCAGCTCGCGGTTGTAGCGGCAGATCTCCAGCCACGTGCTGGCCAGCAGCAGGTTGGTCTTGCGCCGGTACATCACGTACAGCTCGCCGTCCACCGCGAACAGCACGTGGTCGAACAGGTAGACGTAGCCGCGCGTGCCGCGCACGCCGTCCGGACGGGGGACGCCTAGCGACTCCCAGCGGTTCTGCCGCGGGTTGAACGTGATGGGGTAATCCTCACCCCCGAGACAGGGATCTTGCGGATGCGCCTTCCCCGTCAAGTACACCTTGTCCTTGTAGATGAAGGAATTATTTTCTCCCATCCGACTGAGAAGCGGATCAGACAAAGGCGCGTCGATCCGGCCCCACTCACCGGACGTGACGTCGCAAGTGTACACGCCACGCAGCCCCCCTGCGAACACCATCATCTTGCCGTTGTAGGCGACGACGTGTTCTACCCTTCCCATGGGAGGGTCTAACTTCTGTGGGTCTGTGTCCAGACACGTCCAGTCGTCTAACTCAGGACTGTACACCTCCATACCGCCGAGTTCCCCCAAGGCGTACAGCTTGCCGTCCAGGCCGATAAGGGTGAGGGGGTGGCTGAATCGGCGGCAGGGGACGGGGGCACGCGGGAACCACGTGCCGTCCACGTGATCGTACTGGAACATCACGTGTCGGCCGTCAGGGCTGGCGTCGGTCGCCACGCACACCGTCATGTAGATGTCGATGCCCAACACGGCGAACAGAACCTACGGCGATATGGATGTGTTAATTGTATTTCATGAAATGTATGTCCTATATACTCGTATGGCGACTGCATGTTATTGGCACGAAACGAGTGAAATTAAGAACGAAGAAACTAGAACATACGTCTTTTTTAACATAAGCGACATTTCTCCAATATCTACACATTCAAATTACGTGTCTCATTAAACTCCTTTACTAAGTATGCAACTGTACATCATTAGCCACGACCTACATACTACTTCAAACCTCCATATTTTGTACAGAATTTTCAAGTTTGAAATCAAAGTTGCTAAACATTTTCTTAAGTTTCACACTTCTGTAACTCTCACCTTGCTGGGCACGTAGACGGTGCCGTGCGGAATGGGCGGCGGTCTGAGCTGGTACAGCCTGCTCTGACGCGGCTCGTACACCACAGCGGGCAGGTCTCCATCGTCCTTCGGGTAGAACAGCGCGATCTCCTGCAAACTCATCCCCAGGCGTCCCCCGGTGGAGGAGCACGGAAGATCCGACAACTCGTGCACGGATTCCAGCAACGACGCTCGTACACAGGAGAGAACTTCTTCCCGATACTTCTCCCTCGTCTCCTTGTCGAATTCTAACCAAGCCAGCGCCGTACGTAACACCACCTCTTCTTCTGACACCAACAGGTCGTCCCAAGACAGAATATCCTTGACCTCAGTAACGTCCAAAACAGAGAAGTCCTCCAGGGAAGACAGTCTTGAGAAGTGTCTGCAGATGAACTTCTTTGCCTCGAACTCCAGGTGTGCGGCGGCGTGTCTCTTCCCCAGCTGCCAGATGCCAAGGCAGTTGTCCAGGGTGATCTGTTCGGCCAGGAAGTACTCGCACTCTTCCTTGGCGTTCGGGAACTGGAGCCGATCCGCGGCGCTCAGCAGAGGCAGCACGTTATCCTGGGTAACGTGAGGGATCTTCCCACCGACCGACTCTAACAATAGCGCCATGATGCCTGCATCCACCGCTTCGATCGTCACTTCGTCTTCCCTGCTTTCTCGGAGGTTGCTGGCAAACATGGCTTGGAAGTACGGACTCTCCTTGGACAGGACCGCGCGAGAATGGGGAAACGCGCGGCCACCGACGCGAAGTGTGACATCTGTAGAACCTGCGACTTTGGCTGTGTTACCGTCGACCGGAGTCTCTTGCTTGTTCTTCGTTGAAATATCACAGGAGTCTGTATTGTCGCCTGCCTCGAACTTAGCGCGTTTGGTGGGAGGTTGGTCCATGTTGTGCTTCTCTGGGATTCCTCCTATTCACGGTACATCCGAGAGAGATGTTCACCACACACCTGTAAATGTTTGAGCCGTAGCAACAGTTCTACGAGGGTTTGTTTATGTACTACATGTACCAGGCAATAGTGGTGTTCTGGAACTATGGAACCTGGTCTGCATCCAGCGGTTGAAAGCGGCGTAGCTCTAGAACGCCTGTACGGTGCTGGACGCTGTTGGTGCCCATCGTTGGCATTCGTGCGTGGTTTGTGACGTTTCAATGCATTGCTATTTCATTATCACAATGGCCACAAGGAAACTTTCCATTCGAGAGGTGGCGCTTCTGCTGGACAAAGCAAGTCCTTTGTGACGTTACAAATCAACAATGATCTCAAATAATTGTTCTTATAAAGTTGCGTAATGCAGGGTAGGGTAATAAGTTACGTAATGCGTGTAGGGTAATAAGTTACGCGAGCCATTGGTCTAAACCAATTCATATCTGTGCAGTGTTTTGAGGCGTTACCGGAGTGCCGACGAACAAGGAAGAATACTTGATCCTCCTGCTCTTTGAGGCTCATGTGCCCTTTTCAGACGCTCTGGCGTTTTTGGCAACGCCTTGGAGACGGAGTTTTATGTGGTATTTCATGTTACTTTCCCCGCAGGATCTGGAGAAGAAGCACGACGACAACGTACAGATGATCCACGACCTTCAGACGGAGATAGACCGCCTGCTGGTCCAGCGGGACGAGGGCGAGTACGACACCGTGGGGGATGCCGGGAAATCGGCCGGCCTGCCAGAGTTCAACCGAGGTCACTACGACCTGCCGGTCCGGCCGGGAGGGATCGTGGAGACACTCAGCATTTACGAGGTAAGGGTCGGGCCACATACATGTAAGTCGTGCGACAGCCGTACGATTGCGAACGAAAGGCATTCTTTGGATAGTAGTGTAGGGGGTAGGACTTGCGTCTTCCCACCAGCAACACATCTGGTGTGAATTAAGATCAATAAAGGACATGGATACTGGTGGCAGCGATGGGATTTTTCAGTATATACAATAGCAGTGTGTGTACCTTGTAAAACTCAGCTGCCTTGTTAATATGCAAAAGCTGTACATGTCTTAGATCATTGTTTCTGGGCGAATGACTGACAGGGCAGGGAGGATCATACTAGTCTCCAAGCAAATTTTGAGGTCATATCATTACGCGGCACCACTGTACGTACATATATCAGCATTGAAGAGTCTTTATTTCGGCTTCCCCTTACTTACTAGATTTTTTTTCTACCCAAAAGAGTGTCAAAAGCTAACAGAAAGCGACGATCAATTTGCGTGTACCATTTCATCTGTAGGTTGTGCAGTTGTTGGCCGAGTTGAACTTACAGCAGTACAAGAAGACGTTCGAGCAGGAGCAGATAGACGGGGAGCTGCTGTCCGGGCTGGATGAGGACATGTGCGTGAAGGAGCTCGGCATGACGCGACTCCACGCGCTAAGGCTTCTGAAGAAGGTCGGCAAACGTAAAGCCGAGGAAGCGCAGTGACGTCTTCGAGACGTCGCACATTTAGACACAGGTTTGGACACAAATCTGACTAGAATATGCAGAATTTGTTATGTAAATTTATGCAAATTTTTTATATGCAAATTATAAATTATCATTAATTCATGATGGACAAATTAAATTTGTCGTAAGGATGCATCGACAATATGTATATGTTAGAGAAAAGGTAATTTCTCAGTAAAAATCACTATAGGTGCGATGCAGGAACGCTGAAATCTGTACATCATTTCTGACAGAATTCTAAGGCGTATCTGATAAAATTGGAGGCGTAACTTGACAGAGTGTGGAAGTCTTTCCGGGGTCATCCTTTGCCCTGCAAACCTGTTATAATGCTTTTATGTTTTCTACAAAGCCAATCGATCTCTGTACTTCGTAATGTAGCGCTAGTAGGTGCTCTTACAGATGTTGCTTCTTTTTTTCCCTTTTGTTGCCACCATGTATGTCATGATTTGTACATGTATTTGTATTTCTTGATATGTTTGGATGAAAAGCTTCATGGTTAACGAAAATAAAAGTATGAATTTCTTCTAGCTCTACTCCTCGTCGTTTTGGTTCCAGAGGTTCCAGGTAGCCTGATGTGTGTATGACTTTCTACTCGCCTCCTACCCGATTTCTACCCGAGTAAAAACTGCAACAAAAACACGAATGAATAAAGAAGTTTATTGATCTCTTTGGCCTACCAAGAAGAAAACGGTTGAAACCCACCCCTGATCATGTGTCCCCCCATAAAATATATCTAATAATCTCAACCCCAGATCAACATCTCTAAATAAAGATAACGAAAGGGGCATGTGGTACGTTGTAGCTAAACATAATACGAACATGTGGCAGGTATTTTACCCTAATTTGGAATGCAAAGTAAGATAATAAAAATTATTCATATTTCGACAACTGCAACGCATGCAAGGAACGCAGGTAATGATTTACAATACTGTACATAGTATTCGTAGTTCTGTGTAGCACCTTATTTCATAACGTACCGTTACAAATGAGACGAGACACACTCTTTTGCTGGGTCATTCTGTACCTTTTCGGCGACGAACCGTCGCATCATTAGACTAAGTCCATACGTGCGTCAGCAAGTTTGTAACATTTCAAACACATAGGAATCATATATCATGATGTGGTATATAAATCTTTTTTTTTTGCATATACATATCGTCTATACATTGTATTTCATTGTAATGTAACGACGTGGCACATTACACACTTTATCTTTGGAGTAGTAACTATGCCATAAAATGACTGATTTCTGACTGTTTAGAAAATTGTTAGCATTGGTTTGTGGTCTTGGCGGCTTTTTATCTGGAACAGTTTTCAATGCACAACTCCGTAGTGCCATTCAGATTACTGTAGAGTGCAGTTCATGGCCTTATCGCTATGTGATCCCCTGCAGCTGAACCACTCTGTACGGTGGCTGTGTCTTGAGAGGTGTGGAACAGCCGTCCATTGGATAGAAGGAGGAGTTGGGAAAGGACGAGTGAACGTCTGGAACGAGTGGATGACGTCACGAATAATATCTGGGCATTTTCAAGAAAGTTCACAGATACAGGTGCTCAAGAAAGATCCAATATTCCTCGGAAGCATTTCTCCTTAAAAAATCTCCATCTCGATATTTTTCTCCAGGATTGATACAGACGACGTTTTACGGTCAAACGTCCTTCTCGATTGTCTCTTGCTCCTTGGCGTCCTTCTTGTCCGCCATTTTGGAGCGGAACTCCCAGACGCCGTCATCGTTTGGTTCCATGAAGGGGTCTGCTGACGGGGGCAGCTGGAATATCCACGGAGCGCTGTCAAACTCCTCCTCTGTCAACAGCAGGTCACCTGGGGAAACACAAAATATAAGAATGTTGTCGTCTTGGTTTCACTACATTTATTGAAGTACGTAACAAATGCGTCATTGCAAAAATGTTTCTATGAAATTCCGGTGTCAAGGAAATATAGCCGGACCCCTTCCACCTTTTCGTGTACACCTTTTGTAATGAACGCTATGATGGTGAGACTTCCCTGGCGTGGCCACTTATTGTACCTATTTGGCTAAATTTACTATTTTAATAGAAGCCCGCGTTGTCAGTCTAGTCTAGTACTTTATTTGTCTCTCCTTGCCGTGTGAATAACGATGTTGTGTCTTTGAGGAAATTCGTTCCATTTCAACAAATATTCTACTTGTTTCACGTAGTGACTGGTCAACTATTTGCTGCAACTTTAGTGTAAGTAAATACTCCGTAGGTAAATCAGAGCCTAACCAACTTAATTTGCCACGACAACAAATCTGTGCATGCGATCTGTAATGTGTGTACCTAATTGTTCTAACTACCACAACAAACGGAACCTTTGACAAACCACCATCGCGATTAAGGCTCACTTTTAATGTACGGACCGGACAAAGTGATTTGCTCTTATTATGATATAATTAGGGAAAAGTAAGACATGCCAGGTGGTCCAGGTTCGGAATGTCAACCCGCACACCTGCGCAGCAAACACTGGGCTTAAACTCTGCCCTCACATGGTCACATGGTCCAACAGATACTAGTCAAGAAAAGGAAGGCACTGCTGATCCTTCTGAATGTTCTAAGGACAGACCTCAACAAAGGAAGACCTTCACAGTCAGGAAGGAGTTTAGAAGCTCGGGAAGAACAGAACATAGTCACCACTTTGGTTGAAGAAAGACTGATAGAGCTACATATACGGACTACTGCAGGAGCAGAACACAGTGAATGCTGATATCGTAAGCAGTGATTATTTACTAATGACCACACACATCACCATAATCACATTTTGAACCATTGAAATGAGACGAAACAGTAGTTTATTGTGATACTGCCGACAAAACACGAGAAACAGTGTGTGTGTGGGTGGGGGGGGTACTATTTTGCTTGGAGGTCGTGACCATCAACGGTACCTATTGCGCGTCACGTGATAGATGAACCCTTTATCATCGCACGTTGACTATAAACATGGAGAGAACCTTTGCCAAACGTACTGTGACAGAAAAACTGCGTGTCTGACTGGGTGGTCGGCCATTCCACAAACAAAGGTGCGCATTACTACGGATATCTATAATCTTAACAGAATACAAGACGCGTACCAAGGTCTCCAGACATTCATTCATTACGTTCAAGACAACACGGCATTATTTTTACGTGCACCCAACCTTAATGTGTCCCCTTCATGACCCACAAAAAGGTTTAGATGCGTTACTTAAGGGATATGACTATACACGCATTCTTTCAACGAGGTGAAAAGTGCCAGGGTGACATTGACAACAAACCGACAAGGCAAAGAAACGAGTGGCAACAAAGTCTATCATTTGCGACGCTTGACGAGCAGACCCCATGGAAATGGTTGTCAAATGCTCAATGGCTATGGAAGCGATCCCAGTGGCTCATTTAAACTTTACGGTCGCTATAGTTGGCAGGGTTTAACTGATTCTCTTTGGAGTACTGCAGTTAAACGGTAGTTTATGGTTAATTTTGGTTATCGCGGTTTACAGAAGAAGGGGTCACTGACCGCACAGTAACACTGACACTGTAAACACGGCTCCGTCAGCCTGCCCTGATAGATGGTGAAGAAGCAGACAGCCAGAACACATCACATCGTCGCGAAATAATCCTGATAGTTCACGGAACCTCCGATCAACCAGTGTCCCACTTTTAATGGAATCCCTGTCATTGATTCCAGGACGCGCCACTCATTTGGACCTAAGGCGTTTGTCCCAGATAGATCATATCCGAGCTAATACCACTATAAATAAGAGGCCACGAGAGGCAGCTAAGTTGGTTTGAGCTACATGTAAACATTGGCAGATTAGGAGATGGACATCTTGGCTGCGTCTGTGGCTAACGTTTGGCTTTCCTGTTTGAAGCGGAAATAGTAGTGGAAACATTCCCTTCCCACAGGAGCTGAAGAGCCAAACGCATTCCGTGTAAGAGCTCTGAAGTACACCAGGGCATCTTATCAAGTGACCAAGACCGGAAAGCTTCTAGACGCTAAGAATAGGTTCTAAACACGCATGCAGTCTGTCAGTCTCCTTGGCTTCGGAGACGTGACGTGCTGGAATTGCAGGAAAGCAACTGTATACTTTTCTTGTGGCATTATTCCCTCCAGCGTTGCATTCCGCCAGTCCACCTGGCCAATTAAGGTAGTCATGGAAAGCAAAAGGCATATATAGGGCGGAAAAAAGTATTGCTTTCAGTTAGAGTATTCTCCCTGAGCGCTAAAATGTCGGCATAGATTGCACCAACGTTGTACGGCCTGCGCAAGTTTCTGACACCTCTGACAACTAAATATTGCGCTCAAAAAACTTTGAACAGAGGTGGCTCTTTTTGACAATGGGCGACACTGAGAGCGTGGACAAGGTGAACTGCGATGCTATGTTTGTGTAACGTTCGACTATCGCTGGCTAGCAGCTATTTCCTAATCTTCCTAGATATATTGAGGGGGGGGGGAGGGGAGCCGTGTGTTCACAGCAAACACCAGTCCGAGTGTCTTATGTACATGCTGGATGAATGGAGGAGTGTTCTACAGCCAACAAACATACTACGTTGTGTGGAGACAGAAATCCTTTCCTTTTGAGGGACGGTACGTTATGAGCGCCTTTGACATTGACTAATTATTTTCCATGTCATCATTTTCTACCAGTTTCTCAATTTGGCATGGAATTCATTGAGATCTTTAATATTGACCCTGGACTTTTATTGAACCTATTCAGAGCCCGTTTAAGGTCAAATTTTATCTTAGTTTTCTTGTATTGTATTGTATTGGTTGCACTGTTCCTGCTATCATTCTAAAGTTAACGGCTCAAGGTTTCGTCTTCATCTATAATTCTGTTTAGGCTACGTGTGTTTAGGAATGTATAAATAGCTAGCTTGCGGCCAAGGAAAAGGGAAAAGACCCTCGGGGTTTCATGCAGAAATTCTGTTATCTTGTCAGCGCATGTCAGTGAATCCCTGTCGCCTGGGACAGGCACGTTTCTCTTCTTCTCTGTCACGGTGGCGTGCAGCTCCGGGCTCGGCACACGCTCCCTCTACATTCTCCACACCCTCACCCAACATCGCGTGGGACACAGAAAACAAACCGCGCGTTTAAAGCTATCTCGGGTATCCCCCGGACAAAGTACAACATGTGCACCCCCTCATAAGTGGCCTGGCTATTACCGGTATTTATTCCATAGTGAGGAAGTAAGGGAACACCTGCTGTAATGAGTTTGGAGACACCAGAGCTCGAAACTAGCGCGGAATTCCCTTGACATAAATACCTTGTCAAATGCGCCCTGTGGCATCTTCCGTTTACGAAAACTCTAAACCCTGAGACCATGTACCATATGAGCAAGAAGGGCGAAATAGAGGGAGACAGAGAAAGAGAGAAACAAAGAAATAAAGAAGAAGAGAACAAACACGATAACAATTCTATGAAAATCATATAAATATCAAACGATTTCAGTTTGAAAACAACCACCAATGGCCAAGCCCAGTGCAATATGGTGTGTAAAATACAGGTGTTGTAAAAGAATACCAACATTGTCTTCGTGTCTTTCATTCCTATTCTTGACCTTTTTCCATTTTGTTTGACCGCGAATAACACCGTCAGGTTTACCCGACAAAGTCGCCACCATATGGAACATAACAGTTCCAGACCAGCCACAATAGACTGCAGTCAGCAGAACTTGATACATGTTTTTGCCCTCCAGCTAATCTTGTAAAATGTAAGTTTGGGACATTCGGTAACGTCGCGTTAAGTATTTAATCTTTGCGCAGACATGGGGGGGTGGATAGTAACAACTTCCATGATTGGTGGAGCTGACAGGCGCTGTTGTTTGGCAGCGTTTCAAACAGACACAAAGGTCAGAGGAACGATACAAAAGGCATGTACATGTCTTCACTCCTTCCTATTTGGAGTAACTGTAGTGTGCAACAGGGACACATTCGTGACTTTCCTCCTAAATAACAGAACTAATTATTTTCCAAGCAGATGTAAGGTTTCTGATGTTTTCGTGCATGTTTTTTTATCGTTTTGATCCAATTACTAATACAATGACGCGAATCAGGAAAGCAGAAAACGTCCCAATGAAAAGACAACTATATTCCAGAAGTAAACCACACTAATGATATAGATACGTACATTCCCGCTTCTAAACACTCAACATTCTAAATATTTACCCGTTATCAAAACACTCCAGGCTGAATAACACAACACTCCGCCCTCTAGCTGTGTGTGTACAAATTTCAGTCGGTCTGGTCTCACCAAACAAACGCGTCCTGTTGAAAATATCTTAATCCAGCTTGCCTATTGGTTCCCAATCCTACACGGAATATAATACAACCTTCAACTTGGCGGTGAAACTAAATAATGGTCCCCGGGCGCCAGCGGGGAGAAGGTCGGACTAATTTGTAGTCGTGCGGAGACTTTAGCGGCAGGAAACAGTGTCAGACCGACAGCTGCCCGTTCCCGCCAACTCCGGAACACAGTTCTAGTTTCCAAGACACACAAATCACCCTGCGTGGTCTCGTTCATGTCTGTTAATACAGCGCCGTGATTTGCAGGTCTGCTCCATGAGTCCTTAAATTGCCGCTCTTGACTCTCTAAACACGCCCAATCCCCCCGGTATGCGCCCAATTGTAGGGTTTGTGTCAGACAAATCCTTAAATGTTCGGCTACACTGCACTTTGGTATTCGTGCAAAGAGGATTGAAGGAAAATCTTCTTGGTACAATGCTAGTAAGGATTATTTCAGCACAGAGTTTCCTTCTTTCAACACTATATGATTGTTGAAAAGGTAGGCCTTTTACAGTGGCACAGACTGGCAGTACACAAACTAGCAAACACAACTTTCAGACAGAGAAAACAGACTTGGGCTTTGAAACGTCAGCAAAAAAGGAAATAGATGTAGGTGTTTCTCAAAACGTCTCTTTCAAGAACATGCATGGCAAACTTCAACTCTAAATGCTTCTAAAGTACACAGCACACGCTTATCACAAGTTATCAAGTTATCAATATGTTAATATTGATGTAAACGTACCGTTCGCATCGGCGGTCTCAAAGGGGTGCATGGCGTCCTCCTCTTTCGTCCCCGTCACCTTGGCCAGTTCTTCTACCGTGATGACGTGATCGTTGTTCAGATCGTACGTGCTGAACTCCGTCGGTAACTCCTCCAACTTCAGCTTCCCCAGTTCCTCCTCACCGGGGATGTTCCCGACGAAGGGCAGCGGGCCGTCCACCTCGTCGACCGGGTCCCGAGTGATGAGTTTGTCCCCGAGAACAACGGCCAGGGCGCCCGCTAGGGCCAACAACCGCAACAGTCCGGCCTCCATGGCTCTGTAGTAGTACTCCTAGTCCTGTACCAATAAGAACACAAGGTGTGTAAACGGTTGTCCCTCCTGTTGTAATGACTATCTATCGCTCACACGCCCTGACTTGTACAGTGAGGGTCTGACAGGACAGACAATCGCCGACGAGTATAAGGGCGTCTTGGGGAGAGAGGACAAGAGTACAGACCGGGAACCTGCAGCCCCACACAGGCGCGAACAATGTTTGACCCCGAATGTTTCACGGGCGGAACGTCACTAGCTGACAACCTAGCCTTAAGACTGTTCCATTTCAATGTGGTTGTCGGGGGGGGGGCACAATTTTATCGCAACGCATATAGAGACTAGTCAATGGACAGTCTGAATAAGGTGGTAAGTAGCAGGGGTGCAGGGAAGTGAGGTAGGGTTTAATAATAAACGTAAATGCTGAAAGTATATACCATGCCCTCTTAAACTTCTGAGGTGGAACATTCCAAAGCCGCATGCAGAAGCCTTCGGTTTGAGGCCACGACAGACCATGATTTTCATCACAGAAATCTTGATATTGCGCGCGCTGTATTCAATACATGACATTCAACACAGTAAATGTCTTACATTACATGCCATTGGACGTGTATTAACTGTTATCAAAGAGTCAAGTTCAAGAGTTCAGCTGACATTGCTGCATGTACCCAGTTGTCACGATAAGCTGCCAGTGGTTTATGTCGCTCCTGCTTTCTCGACATTCTGCAAATAACACAGGGGCGGCTCACAAAAATAAGCAGCAAGGGGTGTCGTCTGTATCGTGTTGTACACCTCGCACTCAGCCTTTCATCTGTCTCTAAACAACATGGTACAGCATGTCTGTTTCGGTCGGTCATATACAACGTCAACATGGATCTTTGATAGACCCGCAAAGCCATTGGGTGCCGCAGTGCCGGTTATAGATTTATCTTTCCCCTTCCCTCTCTCCACCTCTCTCATCTAATCCTCTCAATTTATCATCATCCATGGTCCTTCTTAAAAAGTGTTAGAAATGCGGTTGTGCTATCGTTTTGAACTTTGGAGTCACAACGTGATAACTTGCCTCTCAGCAAACTCAGTGCAAACGTGTTCTCGGGTAGTTAAAGACATGGGTAATGTACGATCGCCCGAGTCAGCTGCTTAACTCTGTCGTCCTAATCAAGTTTTGGTCTAAACTACTGGACTTCATTACCCGCAAGGTACCATATACATGTAGTGATATAGAACATCAGTGACAGAGTTCTGAAAATGAAAAACACGCAGTTTCCTGCAGGCCTGGCTCTGATCTCACCGTTTCCTTCTCTTCTAAGAAGGAGACGATTCAAACGAGATTAAAAGCAGTGCGGCAGAAATGAGGTAATGGTTGTTACATTTCATGGCTCCAGGCTGCTGCCTTGTTGCCTGTCGTCTGAAGCCAATTTTCGACCAATTTTCTGTCGGGACCCAATGGTTTTGGCAATCCTCACCAACTACGACCACACAGACTGCGAAAAACATCCGTAACGCTAAACATACGATGCAGTTGTTGTATTCTTGACAGTCATCAGTAGATGAATCCTACATAACCGAATCAATGCGCTGTCCATAAAGTAAAAGAATATAGAAACGTACCTTTGTATAATGCTCGATTTGATTCTTGATAAGCCAAGACAGTGTTTTAAGACGTCAATAATCAATTGGATGCTCAAACTCTACACTCTGACCGCCCTATAACTTATAAGCTATATAGTATAGTATAAGCTGTACACCAGATATGATCGCACTAGCTACTAGTATGTAGGGGTCGGTGTCACAACAGCTAACGTTACATTTCATAGTAACAGTCCAGCTGCTATAGGAGGCTTTATAAGGGGTTTACCGTCTACTTTATGGTCATGTTCATGACGACTCTATCATTGGTTGCCATATTGCTACAGTAACAAGACAGTTCACTTTGGCCATCTTTAGTCATATTGGTGAACTTGCTTGAGATAGTGTCATCTTTTTTATGAGCCTGAGTCCTGAAACGTGTATTCAAAAACCCCATCAGACCCCAGGATGAACACGACACGGGTTAAGTGTTCCTAAAGGCCCGTATTGTCCTGTCACGTCTGTCAACGCGTTTTGTATTTTTGTCTGAACTTGACCTGTGCTGACCCCTCGCAGGCGCGGCGGGTGTATTTAGGGCGCGAGTGAGACCGCCAGGCGTCTCGAGTTTAAAGCCGCGATGTGTGGAATATACAAGCCGCGCAGGGAGCGACGCTTGTGCGGGGCAGGGGATGAAAAGGCCTGCTGAACTCTGGCACTGCGAGACACAGGGACGGAATGTTTAACAAATTCAGAGTGATAAAAGAGCGGGGATCGACCGCTTTTCTGCTGTGACTGTTGTCGAGAGAAAAGTCCCTGCCAGTGGTGACTGTATAACGTCTAGAGAGCCAAAGAAATTTCAAAGTAATCATCTAGTCAGATGCATGCTTTTTACGAGCCGTGCAGTGATAAAGAAAAAACAGGTAAAAGATGTGCAAAGGAACAAAAGTTTCTAGCCTCTACCAGCCTTCAGAAGCGGCTGGAAAGAGTAGAAATTGGCCAAATGGACACCAAACAGACGGTAGATTTGGCTCCTGATTTGGCCAATTTCTAATACTAAATACTCTTTCCAGACGCTTCCGAAGCCTCGAGGAGGCTAAAACGTTCCAACGAAAGCTATAGCTCAGTAGTTGGTGGCCTACATGTACACCTGCTTAGCTCTGTAGGTGATGGTTACAAAATATCTGCAGAAAACAGCACGGCGGCCACAAAGATTGTGTAACAGCAAATCAAAGTAAAACATACACACATCAATGCGTGTTGAAGTTTGTTACTGCATAGAGCATTGTTTATTTCCCGTCCTCATTATTTCATTTGTTGCGAGAATCGAACCCAGGACCACCAGGTGCGGAGACCAGTGGTGCGAGACATGCCACAAAGCTCCGTCCACATGTCTGACCTCGAAAAGTCACGTACGATACCATTCGGACTGAGCTTCTCGTCGTCTTGTCCTAGCCTCTACCAGGCTTCAGGAAACGGTCGGAAACAGTAGAAATGGGCCAAATGGACCCTAGAGCGTCAAAATGGACTGTTTCAACTCTGTTCACTGGCATGTTATCTGAATATGAGAATGTATAGACTCTGAGATATTTGCTTGGAAGGAAGATGCTAGCTTTCTCAAAGGAAGATGGGAAGATCTAAGAATGTTACGATCTACTCTAAATTGACGTTCACTGCATGCCAAGTACCCCTCCCCCCAAACAAAAACACCTAGGGATCTATATGCCCATTTTTATGCATCAACAGTTCCTATTGAGCCGTCTATGTCATATCAGCTGGCCTGAAGATTCCAACCAACTTGCTGTCTGTCATCATATCCACTGTCTTATCTTTCTTCAACACATTTTAAGACTACTTACCTTTTACTGTACACCTTACCGACCTGCGTCTCAACCATTGACTTAAAACGAAGCAAGGCAAAACGCACACAAGCAACTTTTGTTTGCAATATCGTGTTTCGCTGGAGGTATGGAGAGCTTGCAAAGTAGGTCGCAGTTTGGAACATGTCAAAATCTGGGGGTTTGCGACCTTAATTCGATGATGCATGAGGTTCAGGTGAGGGGACCACATCTATTGGTTTAGCCTTCTAGAGTCTGGCCAGGTTTGCGGAGAAATGCTGGTTTTGCACGCTACCTTCGCTATAGAATGTTTTAAATTACTCTTGATTGAAATAAGCCGACAAACGGAGCAAACACAAAGTTGCATTCCTTACAATAGATAACATGTTGGTGTAAGTACAGGATCTAAGACTGATATTTCTACCATTGCTGTCGAACACGCCCTGAAGACAGTGGAATTCCCTTCTTCTTAAGGGCTGGAGAGGATTAACTTGTCAATCAACTACCTGTGCTAAACCCCCCCCCCCCCC